TCTGAGGATAATTTAAGTCCGGGGGGGGGAGCGCGACGCGGCCCGACCGGCATGCTGCCAGTCCATTCAGCGCACAGCAGATCAGGTCACATCACGGGGAAAAGCCAGGAACAATGAAGGCGTTGATGATAAGGACAGGCCGCACCTGCTTCGTCAAGGTCTGCTCATGGAGACAGTCCCAGTTTATCAATCCATGGCCGAGAAGGAGGGGGTGATGGTGGGGGTACTAGCTTCCATGCGTACTTTCAGGGGAAAGGGTCCAGATAGCGTTGTTTTGTTTTGGGACGGCCGCCAACAATTTCAGGTGGCCTTGAGTCAGTGGCTGTATCCCTTCACTGGCGCCGATCAGCCAAATCCTCAATTCCTTTTCGAAGTGAGAATTCCAACATCTCCATGTTGTTGTCGATCGTACGGAGAGGCTCCAGAACCGCAATTGCGGTTGAGCTCAGTCACCGCTTGAGTCTGAGTGTTGGACATTCGCGCTAGACCATCGAGAATGACCGGCAGCTTCTTCACTTCCAATAAAGCTGCTCCCGTCGGTTGGATTTTGCGATAGAACAGGAAACTGCTAACACCAAACATCAGCATACCTGTTATCAGAAGGCCGATAATGTAGATGTCTTCCACATCCTCAACGGACAGTATTGACAGGCACACCATTCTCCACTTTCTCCATGGATCAAGGGCGTACCCGGCAGCAAATGTCCCCGAGGGGCAAGAAGACTCCCCACTGCCTGCTCTTTTTGTCGAAAAAATTTTGTCAATTCATGGATCAAGGGCGTACCCGGCAGCAAATGTCCCCGAGGGGCAAGAAGGCTCCCCACTGCCTGCTCTTTTTGTTGAAAAGATTTTGTCGATTGCATCGAGAGACCAGCCAACCAATTCCATGGTTTGTTCTTAGAATGAAAATACGATAGGAGGCTAGGAAAGTTAGACACAGACAGCACGTAGACTGAGTGGTGAGCAAGGGGAGGGTGGGGGAGGACAGGAGCTGAGCAAAAAAGCGTCCGCCTTCGTCAAGAGCCAAGCAGGATCATGGAGCATTTGGAAGGTGTCATCATTTAAACTTACTCTAGGACTCCACAGTCTGGGACTAACTAAAACAAATGTAAGGTCCACTCATACAAGCCATTTCAGTGATGCAGCTTTACTAGTCTTGTCTGTGAAACCGGCCACAACTTATTTTTCCAAGCCACGCGGAGCCAAAACAATTGGATGAAAGAGCCGCCCGCATGTGGCTCCGGAGCTGCGGGTTGCCAACCCCTGATCTATGGACTGTTCCTCCAATGAGCTTCTCAAAAGTCTGCAGGAAGTCATTATAATTGTTTATCACGGTGCTCACTATCCATGATTTAAAATTTCATCCAGAAATTGAGTTTCTGGGCAACATTGAGCAGCATGCAGATTCGAGAAAACATGACATCTTTGTGGATTTTAAAGAAAAATGTGGCAAACCCAGTGAGTGATGCAAAAACTATTTCTGCGCTCAGATAAGCTTTTCGCGCCCTGAGACAGCACCAGGTTCACTCCGTCCACATTGGCCAGTGTGGCAATAATTTGGGCTGTTGTGTGTGAATTTGTGCAAACCCAGTGAGTGATGCAAAAACTATTTCTGCGCTCAGATAAGCCTTTCGCGCCCTGAGACAGCACCAGATTCAGTCCGTCCACATTGGCCAGTGTGGCAAGAGTGCACTAATTTGGGCTTTTGTGTATGAATTTGGGCTTTGGGTCCTCATTAAAAAAGATGACGCCAAAACTCGAGATAATTTTTTATTGAGCAATTCTCCTTTTATGTGTGTGTGTGTGTGTGTGTGTGTGTGTTGTTGTTTTTTTTTTGGGGGCGGGGGGTATGCCATGGTCGGCCTATCCCCTGCACAATATCAAGGACATCCAGCCATCTTGTTACCTCTGCGTCCCGCATCCTCGACACATAATTTTCCCCCCAGACGCACAGTTCCAAATACTGTGTGTTTTTGGGACACAGCAACGAATGCATCCAGCCATCTTCCGCCATTGTTGTTTTGATCTCGCGTTAAATAATCTCGCGTGACGAGATTTCCGTTCTCGCGAGACGAGATTGGCGAAAATTGGCCTTCACCTCTTGGAAAGCAGATGATTGCTAAGTTGTGTAACGTTAAAACAAGTGTTGCCAACAAGTGTTGCGAAAGTTTATTGCGGAGATATGAACTCAAAGACTGAACCATGGGATGAAATAAGAACCTATTTCTCAGCAAATCTTGTATGCCTGAATTATTTAAATTTTTGCAGCATTTGTTTATAAGAAATAAACCTATTATCAATGTACTGTATATTGTTGTTGTTTGCGTTATTATCATATGCAATTGAATAAGTAGACCATTTCAGAATTCGAAATTTGGGACTCTCTAAATGCAAAATGGGACTCATTCTTTTCTGATCAGCGAGTCCCTAGACTCGCAGGACTCAAACTGTAAAATTATCACAGACACTCTCTAAAAAGGTAAAGCGAAAAGTGTGCACTCAAATTCTCCTAATTTGCTGGTAACGTTACAATTGTGATATTGCGAACTGAAAAGTGGACAAATGTTTTGAAGAATAATAATCCAGAGTTCAGTGTTTTTGCTTTTGGGTGTTTGGTGAGTGAAAAGCGCTTGTTGGAGTTCATCGGATTAAATCCGTTTGAGTGGATGTACTAGTGAAATGTCTGAGGTGGGCCCAACAATGCAACCTCAGGGTCATTGGCCCCGTGCCAGAGGGCACACTCGCCGACTCGGACTTTGCCTCTATTAGTTCGGTGGCTAGGACGTGTACTTTGTGATTTCAGATACATAGTAGCAAATTTTTCCGCATGTTGACGTAGTCTGTGGGTGTGAAGGCAGGTCTCTGTGTCGAATGCCAACTCTGTGCTTAGCATGGAGGCGGAAGTAGGATTTGGGCTGATAAAAGGACACAGTTGGAATAGCTTAACTGTTGAGCAGGCTTCTATAGAGTGGTACCTAGGGTGCAGTAGTTTGTCTTCCTGTAATACAACATAGCGTGACCTTCCCCACGTTGAGTAATCCGTGTCCATAGTTCTGGTGTCTGTGTTAGTCTTAGAGTTGGGGCGGCTGGGGCGCCGAGCCGGTTAATAGAAAACTGTAAAAGAATACAAAAAAAAACCTAAACAAAACCTGAACGGGAGCTGTTGCTTTTTTTCTTGTGTATCTCTTGTATCGTTAGTAAATATGAATTTTGTGTGTAAAGGTGAAAGTATTAAGATTAACCTCGAGGGGATCGGATAGAGATGGGCTGATGAAGCCTTGTGAAGCTTTTGAGGCCTTTGCCATATTGATTCAGAAAAGAGTCAAAGCCTCAAAGCCTTATAAAATAGACCACACCAGTGACATTTGGTCATCGGTTAGACTCATAGCAGCTACAGTCATCAAAGTGATTCGATTAAATTGATTTGTATTCCAACATAATAACAATGCATTCAGTCTTACACTTGTCTTGTGTCCGTCTAATGATCATCATGTATGCATGTAAGCGTTGCAACATTTTGACGAGTATGGTTCAAAGTCGTGTCCTTTTACCCATTAGATTTGAATAAACATGATTTGGATATGACATAACTTTAAGTGTGCTGTGAAACAAGATGTCATGATTTCAACACAAGTCATCAAATCGGTTTTCTCTCAACCACGAGTGCCGGGCGTACGACACCCACCATGCATGTACTCGTTACGTGGCCGGATTGGCTAAAGCATTACAAAACACTGCACACATTTTTTCCCCAGCGCAATAGGCTCTCATGAAAAAAACTGCCATTGAAAATGGCAAAAGACAAAAAAAAAAAAAACACTGAACAGCAAACCAACATTAAAGGGACTGTTGATTAGGCTGAATTTTGCCACTTAGGTAAAAGGTGTAAAATGTATGTAAAAATCAATCCATCGTCATTTAATAGATTTTTTTATGCCTTTTATGTGTGTGAATGGACTGCTTGGTGCACATCTCAGCCAGACTATGTCATTTAAGGCAGGAGGTAAGCATTGTAGTATTGTTTCCTGCTTGATTTTTCACATTCTGTTGTGTGTTCTGCGTGAAATTTACAAATACATTGAATGTGGGCTCTTATGTTGAAAAGCCGTCAGGCCTATCACCTCCACAAAATATCGTGCCGATTGTTGTTTTATTTTTACACGTTGAATTGGATGATAGCGGGGATATGTACATGAATTTTGGTGGCAATTGGTTGTGGTTTTCAGAGGCGAATGTTTTTTTTAGACACCATAGGGAGGCAGCCAGCGGCTGCCAGCGAGCTCCCACAGCTAACTGGCTAACAATGGGGGATTGATCATGAAAAATGCTTGCAATATCAACATTTTGGAAAGTAAAGACAATTTGCAATTTTGGTATTTTAGCAAGAAACATGCCCATATGCTTTTGGGGGGCCACATAAAAGGTGCGGCGGGCCGGATCTGGCCCCCGGGCCTTGAATTTGACTCCAGTGCTTTAAATAGTGGCAAACTGGAACTGTTTCACACATTCTTCATAAAATGCCACAAGATTTGTTTGAGGGCAAATAAATAACCCTAGCAAGCAGATTTATTGAATAAAAGTGACTTTACAAAGTAGAGACATTCTATTGAGTTATACTTTTCGTCCATAGTTGGAATCAAAACAGTGAGTCCCGATCTGTTTTATTTAAATTAAGAATCTTGCAGTGCTTGCAGTGGCAAAATCTACTTGCTCCAAAAGATCTGTTGGCCACAGCAGATTTTCACACTTCGCTGATTTTAAATAGAAGTGTGCGTGCGTGCGCACGTGTGTGTGGACTTGCTGTATGTGAGCTGATGAAAGCAGTAAATGCCCTGGATGCTTCACTGTGTTTTGTTACCGCTCACTGGTTGACAGTGGTGCCCCATTCAACTAGCCCAGAAGATTGGAGACATTTCCATTGCTTTCGAGTAGCTTCTCGCAAGTTTCCAATGCAGGACAAGCGGCAGGTGAGACACGTATATGTACTCGTTCATGTAGGCGTACCAGCCCGGCCCGTTGTTGGGAGAGCTACACCACGGCCAGGGTGTACTCACGGGGAACTTATTATTTTGGCATTTTTAAACAACAGTCACAAAATATGTCCCTTGTCCTTGCAGCGCTGGACAAGCTGGCATATTTTCTGTCTCTCATAGGGTTTTGTGTCAGCGTGTCTTCCAGCTGGCTCAAATGAATCTCGAGTCAGAGCCAGCAGTCTTTTCTAAATTACAATATGATTCCTGAGGTTTAGGGTTTGAGTAAAATTCTTTTTGATCAACACCTGGACATCTGACACTCGTGTGTTCTACTCTTCTGTCTTCATTTGAGCCTCTTTTGGTTCAAGTGCAGTCTTTTAATGTTGTTGTTCTTTACTGTAGGGGTGATCAAAGAAGAAGGATCCGAACCAACCATCACAATGCGAAGGTGCCTAAAGGTATGCCATGTGTTTGCATTGGTGCTGTGTATGTCAGCCAGGGAGGACTTTGACTGGGCGAAGACTGAAAGAACGTCTTTCTATTATGGGACCTTCCCAACAGGTAAGTGTCCAAACATCAACCTCCTTTTTACCAAAAATCCTAAACATCAAGGAGTAGCGAATGTCTTTTGCATAGTTGTTTCAGGCATTTTCAAAACCATGGGAGTTTAACTGGACATTTTCAAAATGCTGTCACTGTCCACAACAATGGACGCAAAATATCCTACAATTCAGCAAAATATCCTACAATTCTTCAATTCGTCAAACAATTCTTAAAAAAAAAAAAAATAACAACAACAAAAAACGCTGATAATCATTCAATATATATTTTTGATGAAACACAGGGGCAGGGCACTGATAAACTAACAAAACATATTAAGTATTTAAAAATGTTTTGAAATAAATGAAAAAAACATTGGGGGCAAAAAAGTGTAAAAATGATACCAGTTTGCATTTGGATCATACCACATCACAAAGTATTTACATTTTGACTTGTTTTAACATCAGTATTGCACCAATAATTTAATAGTATACGAAGTCAATATTATTTGGTCTTTCTTTGTGCAAGTAAAAAAAAGTCCCCAAATCACCAAGTCATTTGTTTTGGAAACCTGCCATGCCACTTCACATTGATGATCTAGAATACTACTTAGTATAATCATCAACTGTGAGAGAAGATGTCAATGAGTTCAACAGAATGAATATGAAATAACGTATTTTCCGGACTATTAGGCGCTTTGGAATGTAAAAGGCGCACCTTCAATGCATCGCCTATTTTAAAACTGTTTTAATGGATAGGGCGCACCGCATTATAAGGCGCATAGAATAGAAGCTACAATAATGGCTGCGGTTGCGTTATGCATCCACCAGATGGTGCTACGCTAAAACAAATACTTGACAATACAATACAGTTTTATTTTTATAGAGCTTTCACAACCGGTGCAGCTGTAACAAACCGCTTGACAAAACATTTAAAATACTACATCCAAGAAATCCGAATATTGAGCCATATATAAGGCACATCGGATTATAAGGCGCAATGTCAGCATTTGAGATAATTGAATGATTTTTGGTGCGCCATATGGTGTGGAAAAATACGGTAATTAATAATTTGTATTAAAACTGAACTATAAAAATACTCATAGGCAGGGGTGGGCTGTCACTCGGGAATTTGGGGAAAATGACGCGTCAATGACTATTTTTCAGCGCATTACAGCCGGCGGCTAAAACCACCACCACACACGGTCGTTGAAGAATATTATTGGCCGAATTTTGGCCCCATTACGTGCCTCCTCTCAGGCTTCAGTCTCATAATTTGCAAGTGTATCAAAATTCTACCTTCACAAAGGTATTACTGCAGTAGGAATTGAACAATATGCAGATTGTAGTGGCTGAGAAAGTAGCTAATCTAAATAGGGCAAACAAAGTCTTAGAAGCACAACATTAACAATCATTTGCCTATGATGAAAAATTATGCAAAAGAGTAATTCGAGTGATTTTCTCTGCAGGTTTTACCTGGGGGGCAGGCAGTTCTGCTTATCAGACCGAGGGAGCTTGGAACGTCGATGGCAAGGGAATGAGCATCTGGGACGCATTTTCCCATAAAAAGGGGAAAATATTTCAAAATGAAACTGGGGATTCCTCGTGTGATGGGTACTACAAATTTAAGGTGAGAAAACCCTAAAATGAATATTCAGTGTTTAAGGATGTCTGTAGCGGTACAATATTGTTCCTCACTTTTGTCCCTTCATTGCACTGATTGTAAATGCATCGAAGACACCAACCCTTAGACAAATGAACCTGGGTAGGTTGTGAAAGTCTGCTCAACCCTTTTCATGCCCCCTGACGGCCTGATAACATGATAAGCTGTCCACTGTAGCAACCACTGTCCCTGAAAGGGTTAAAATATTTCACACTTAACCTTTAATGTATTTTTTTTCTGAATGGTATAAAAGGCAAAAATGTGACATTGTAATGTTGTGTGCTGCTTTTTTGAAGGACGACATTAATTTAATGAAAGACATGAAGCTGAATCATTATCGTTTCTCCATCTCCTGGCCAAGAATTTTACCAAGCGGAATCAAAGGTAATGCACACACATTAATTTGGCAGGAAGGATTTGCCAGTGTGGTGGCACGGTGGGGGACTGGTTAGCACGTCTGCTTCATAATGCAGAAGTGCAAGGTTCATCTGCAGCCCCCAGCCTTCCTCTGTGGAGTTTGCATATGTTCTGCCCGTGTCTGCGTGGGTATTCTCTGGGCACTTGGGTTTCTTCCCACATTCTCAAAAACAGATCCCTCTGAATTGACCCTTGTTGTGATTGTGAGTGTGAATGGTTGGTTGTCTCTGTGTGTGCCGTGCGATTGGCTGGCAACTAGTTCAGGGTGGACTCCGCCTACTGCCCAAAGACGGCTGGGATAGGCTCCAGCGCACCCGTGACCCTTGTGAGCATGAAGCGATTCAGATAATGGATGGATGGGTGGATGTGAAAGTTATACATAAAAATATTGATCCAATTTTTCAAATAATAAATGGATTAGCTCCACATAAAAAAAATTGCTTTGTTAGATTGTTCCAAAAAGTTCGATTTTGTCTGTTGAACCCAAAAGATTTTGTTATTTGGCCTCCCCGTGTTCCAGTGGTTAGCGCGTCGACCTCACAGTGCAGAAGTACCGGGTTCAATCCTGGCTCCGGCCTTCCTATGTGGAGTTTGCATGTTCTCCCCATGCCTGCGTGGGTTTTCTCAGGGTACTCTGGTTTCCTCCCACATTCCAAAACTTGCATGGCAGGCTAATTGAACACTCAAAAAAAATTGTCCCTAGGTGTGAGCGTGAGCGTGGATGGTGGTTCGTCTCTGTGTGCCCTGCGATTGGCTGGCAACCGGTTCAGGATGTCACCTGCCTACTGCCCGAAGACAGCTGGGAAAGGCTCCAGCACCCCCCGCAGGCCCTTGTGAGGATAAAGCGGATCAGAAAATGGATGGATGGATAGATTTTGTTATTCGTGCATCAACTTAAAACAAGCACATACAATGCAATTATAAATACTGTATAGTATTGCAAAGGCATGTTTTTTTGAAAGTCCAGAACATATCAAATGATTGACTTCATTACTTGCCACGTGATTGTATGAATCTGTTTCAGGTGAATACGTCAATGAAAAAGGAATTAAATATTACAATGACCTGATCAACATGTTGCTGGAAAATAAGATCACACCCATTGTTACTTTGTATCACTGGGATTTACCACAGGTTGACAACAAATTGATGACATTTATTTTTGAATTTTGGAAAAATTTATTACAACCTGAAAAAAAAAGAAAACAATCTGAGATGTTTTTATTGTTGACCCCTCCAGGTGTTCCAGGACAAATATGGTGGCTGGCAGAACGTCAGCATGGTCAACTATTTCAACGACTTTGCCAATTTATGCTTTGAAAGGTTCGGCAGCCGAGTAAAGTATTGGATCACATTCAACAATCCCTGGGTACGTAAGACCAAAGATGACACGCTGCCTTCGCTTCCATGAAAATGGAATTGTCGTAGAAGGGCTTGTGTTTCCAGTCGATTGCTGTGGAAGGATATGAAACGGGGGAACATGCACCAGGCTTGAAGATGAAAGGAATGGGAGCTTACAGAGCTGCACACCATATCATCAAGGTATTTCATTTCAAGTGTTTGTGTCTTTGCCAAGTCCGATTTCCACAAAATCTGTACCCATGGCAAATGCAATTCTTGGTGTCTACTTGCATTCCTTCTGATGATTACCATGACTCGGATGACAGATACTCGACACAGATCTAAATTCAGTCCATATACTCTAATCCAAGCCCCTTTCTTTAAAACCATTTGCAAAAGTCTGCAAGTCAGGACATTCTACTAAGTTCAGGTGACATACAGGTGACTTGAGTCTCGGGGTGCAGCACTGAATTTAATGACAACTCATCATAAACGTCATAGGTGCCCCCAGACCCTTTTTACCCGGGCATATGGCCCAGTAGCAATGAGCTGTCCCCCAGGCGCGGACTGACCATGGGACTGACCGTCAACTAAAATCCAATAAAAACCAATGAGCTTGACTAAATGTGATAAAAACTAACAAGTGCGAATGAAAGTGGACTTTAAAAATATGGTTAAAATTAGCACTAATGCGCAGTTGTTGGTATGTTGCAGCAACCACCTGCAGTGTTTCCCTCCATTCATTCATTTGTGACCACTGCTCACGATGGACCTTCTTGTCCTCTCCACTCTCCTCCCAGGCTGGTTATGTGTCAAGTGGCACCGGCAGGCGGACCCCACCTCTGATAGACAGCTTAAATTGGTCTAGGTCAGGGGTCGGCAACCCAAAATGTTGAAAGAGCCATATTGGACCAAAATAAACAAAAAACAAATATGTCTGGAGCCACAAAAAATAAAAAGCCTTATAATGAAGGCAACACATGCTGTATGTATCTATATGAGCTATATTAGCCTGCTATCAACATGACTAAGTTGGCTACAAATACATAAACGAGCATTCATGATTAAAAGCTTTTTTCCTCCTGCAGTTCGTCCTATAGAGGAGGGGTGCCCAAACCTTTTTGACGGAAGATCTACTTTTCGAACATCCAACCTCCTGCGATCGACCTGTTACCGCACACGCACGCATACGCACACACTTACACACGCATGCTGTAATGAGTGACAGCCATAACAGCCGCTGAGATGAACGAGGCACGGGATGCACTTTCGCAGCGTGCTAACCATCGTAGCTCACGTCTAACCGTTTAAAAATGCTTCTCTTGGCCGCCCAGATTCCCATTCTTAGCAAGTACCCTCTGTGAATCGTACAGGAAAGGCAGCTTTTTTTTTTAACAACAGCCCCCTGACTGACATCCCACCCTGCGAATAGAAACGTGTGTCGCAGCCTATGATGCAAATATTCATTGACATTTAATATTTATTCGACACATTTTTACAGCATCGGAAAACGTTAGTAATGTTTGTGTCATATTTGTCTTCTGACAGAAACCATATTAAAACAAAAAATATATTTCATTCCCATCTTTTTCCATTTTCAAAGATTTTTTTAAGCTCTAGGGGGGCCACTGGGGGGCGCTAAAGAGCCACATGCGGCTCGAGAGCCGCGTGTTGCCGACCCCCGGTCTAGGTCAATGACAAAACTCTAAAAAGTCATTGCAATGACACGTGGGGCATCGGAGAGATCCCTACTAGCTAGACCTGTTGAAAATATGGAAGCACATCAATGTGACACTCGCATATGGGACAAAACAGTCTGTATAGTATCCGTTTGCATTTATTTGCACAGAACAGATATGTTCTGTTATTAACCATGCTGCAATAAGTTAGTCCTGTTCTGACAGTGATTATTTCTCCTATATTCGGAGAGTAATACATTTGCCTGTCAAATGCTAAAATTGTTATCAAAGCCCCCCCCCCAACACACACGCACACACACACACACACACACACACACACACACACACACACACACATGCACAGTGGAGTTGGGGTTGTGTGTGTATGTGGGTGTGTGTGCAGGAGGAACCAGATATAGTAGAGCAATGGTCCTCAGCTTTTTTTTCTGCCATGGACTGGTTCATGTTGCAACTGCAATTTCAATGGACCGGCAACCATCAGTTAAATTCCTGCCATGGTGATCAAGTCCATTGAGGGCATATACCCTCACCAGCCACTTTATTAGGTACACCATGCTAGTAATGGGTTGGACCCATTAGACCCAGAACTGCCTCAATTCTTTGTGGCATAGATTCAACAAGGTGCTGGAAGCATTCCCCAGAGAGTTTGGTCCATATTGCCATGATGGCATCACACAGTTGGCGCCG